AAGTGGCGTTGCTGAAATCACAGCCTGCCTTTGGCCAGGAAGTGCTCGCTGTTCTGTTGGGTTGCACGTGTGACCCAAGACCTGTGGCTGTGGGGGTGGGGCTTGGCCTGCGTGCAGGGCCTGTGGGCACTGTCCTCTGAGCCCAAGGATCAGGTGGGTGGCAGGAGGAAGTGACGGCCCCTTTTCCTGTCCCTGCCCCCAAACAGAGTTCACTTTTGCTGGAGCAGAAATAACTTGGCTTGCTTTCTAGACCAGGGGCCCCCAGCAGGTGAACGCAGAGTTGAGATTTGAGCCCAGGCCCCCCACAGTGATGTTTATTACCTGCATTCCAGCCACCACTGCTTGCCTGAAAGTCTTCTCTTGTTTCCATGGTCTCAGCTACCTCCTGTTGTTCCCTAGGTCTGGAGCCCCACCCCATCCCACTGCCAGTGGCACTGGCACTTGGGGAGATTGAGAGGCTTGGGAAGGGGTGTGAGCCCTGTGTGCTTTCCTCCCCTTGATCTGGGGACCTGAAATAACCAATAATCCACTGTGCCCAGACCCCTGGCTCACCCATCCCTTCCTGCCCTTCCTCTCCCCTCCCGCCCCAGCCTGCGATGGCGAAACCGCCCATTGCCTCCCTCCCGCTCTCCTGAACCTTAGCAGCCCGGCTCCCACAGACACATGGGTGTCAAGTCTGCAGCGGTCCCAGGCCGACTGCTTCATGCCACACATCCAGCCCCCTCCTGACGCCCAGGAAGGTGCTGTCGAGGGATCGAGATGGCAGGCGGGGGCTGCTGCTCCCAAGGGGCTGGGTGGAGTCCAGGACAATCTCACAGGGCTTGTACCTGCCTCCCTCAGAGGGCTAGAGGCCAGGGCAGGCCGTTCTGCTGGCCCTTGCCAGCCTTGGCCTTCCAAGCCGTCTTGGGGAGTCAACCAGGGAATCAGTGTTTGGGAGCTGTGGCTTCTTCATAGACTGGCAGGAGGGCTAAGAGGCCCTCAGAGCCGTCTGGGTGGGGGCCCCAGGAGGCCTCCAGGGGTACTGGAGTGTGAGTGAAGGCTGACTGGTAAGTTTTAAGTTTTAAAGATTTTATAAATATATTTGAAAGGCAGAGTGACAGAGAGAGGGAAAGAGAGAGAATTGAGATTATCCATCTAGGGGTTCACTCCTCAAATGACTTCAGTGGCTGGGGCTGAGGCTGTAGTTGGTTCTGGGCCAGGCAGAAGCCAGGAGCCTGGAACTTCATCTGGGTCTCCCATGTTGGGGGCAGAGGTCTAAGCACTTGGGCCACCTTCCACTGCTTCCCCTGGGTGCATTAGCAGGGAGGTGAATCGGAAGCGAAGCAGCCATGAAGGAAACCAGTGCTCCATTTCCTGTCACTGCCCCCAAGCAGTGACATTTGGGAGGCTGGCATTGTAGGCAGCGGTTTAACCTGTTGTGCCACCACGCTGCTCCGTATTTATTTTCATTTTATTTGAAAGAGAGAGAGAGATCTTCCATTCTCCAGTTCACTCCTCAGATACCTGCAGTGGCTGGGCCCTGGATTGAATCTGGGAGCTGAGAACTCAATCCAAGTCTACCATGTGGATGGTACTTGGGCTGTCATCTACTGCCTCCCAGGGTATGCGTTATCAGGAAGTGGGGGTGGAACTTGAACCTGGCATACTGATAGGGAATGTGGGCATCCCAGTGGCATGTTAACCACCCCCAAAAAGAATGTGAAAAAACCATGACCTGTGGCCGGTGCTGTGGCACAGCAGGTTAACACCCTGGCCTGAAGCGCTGGCATCCCATATGGGCACTGGTTCGAGACCTGGCTGCTCCAGTTCTGATCCAGCTCTCTGCTATGGCCTGGGAAAGCAGTAGAGGATGGCCCAAGTCCTTGGGCCCCTGTACCCACATGGGAGACCCAGAAGAAGCTCCTGGCTCCTGGCTTCGGATCGGCCCAGCTCTGGCTGTTGCGGCCAGTTGAAGTGTGAACCCATGGATGGAAGATCTCTCTCTCTCTCTCTCTCTCTCTCTCTGTAACTCTGACTTTCAAATAAATAGGTAAATCTTTAAAAGAAAAGAAAAGAAAAGAAAAAGCTATCACCTTTCCCCCATATGAAAGAGTATTAATGAGAAGAACCTGCCCCAAGGTTCCAGGAATAGTGGTGGCCTTGAGACTGGTGGCTGCAGGGTGGTGCTCTCTCTGCTGTGCTTACACTCGTTTGGACTCTGAGCTGCTTCCGTGGGAAGGGTGACGTAGAACCCCCTTCCCCTGACTCATGGCCAGCCACCCTCCCACCCCTACCCAGGAGCCCCGTGCTTGGCTCACGCACACCCTGGCGTCGTCAGCTCTGCCAGGCTCCCCCAACACCTCTGCTCGTAGCCCCATCTGCGTCTCTCACTTCAACAGGGATGTCTGGCCGTGTGAGTGTCAGTGCGGTTGCCACTCCAAGTGCGTCTCGCACCCAGTCCTGTCCCTGGAGAGAGAAAGCCAGAGGGGAAGACAGACAGGGGAGCAGACCAGGAGGAGGCAAGCACAGTGCCCAGAAGTGGGACTGGGAAGAGGGGGGATGGTGGGGGTGGAGAGAGAGACCCATAAATGGGAGCGAGATGGCAGGAAGGCCCAGGCGGACATGGGTGACGTTGCCTTCTGCGGGCCGTGGGGAAACAGGTGGGAATGCAGAGGGATTGGGCCTTACCTAGCAAAGCAGCTAACAGATCTACAAATCTGCCTGAGGACACGCTTCCAACAGTGTGAAATACATCGTATGCACTGGGTTACTCCTCGCAGCGTTTCTGGTCCTTCCAAGTCCAGATGCTCACCTGTAGGGGGAGCTCACGGTGGAGATCTAAGCAGCTCTACAGAAGAGGGAGAGGGATCTCAGGCTGGTGTGATCTCCGGGATGCACCGGAAAGGGAAAAACATAACACAAAAAGAGCATGCGCAGTCGGCTGGGTAAGCAGGGATGTAAGAAATGCGTGCAGATATTCCTTTGTACAAGAGAAGGGGTTGGATCAGATCTCATGCCCTCCCTCCTCCCTCTCCCTCCCAAAAAAAGATGTGTTGCGGTCCCAAGGCCTTAGCCTGCAGAATGTGACCTCTGTTGGAAGTGGGGTCTTTAGGGACATAGGCTGCAGTCACCCCGCTCTGACGTGGCTGGTATGGGTACAAGAAGGCAGCCCTTGAGCCCTGGTGACAGCAGAGGCGGAAGTCCATGCAGCTTTAGACCACGGATGCCAAGCCCCAGCAACGCCCCAGCAGCCGGGGAGAGGCGAGGGGGCGGAGCGTGGACTTCTGGCTTCTAGACTGGAAAGACAATAGATTTCTGTCATTTTCAACTTAACCAAACCAAAAAGCCAGACAGACATGAGAGAGGAGTTAGAAAAAAAAATAATAAACCACAAGATATAAGTGGAAGGTTACTTTGCAAGAGACAGGAAGAAGGGAAGAGAGAAATGGAGACAGAGAGGACGGGAGACCGGTCTGGCAGGACACAGAGGGCCATTAGAGACAGAAATGTCACCGCCCTGGAGCTGTGGCCCTGTCACCATGAAGGACGCGTTGAGCATGCAGGTCTGGCGCAGTCTGGCTGATGGGTGGAGAGGGTCCCCCTGCTGGCGGCCTGTCGCGTCCCCACTAGTGACCGTCTCCTCCCAGAGCTGGCCCCAGCTCTCTGCAGTTCTTCAGGTGAACTTGTCATGGGGAACCAAAGGAGGTGGCACTGGGGGTGGCCTTGGGCTGGTACTTCTGCCTCCCTGCTCACAGCCTCTGCTGAGAGTAGTCAGCTGTTGGCCAAGGGCTCGTGCAGGCACGGGGCGGGCGAGGGGCTCCTTCTTACTCTCTTCAGGGGCCATGGCCTGGCCTCTCTGCTGCGGGGCCTGGGGTTGGGGGCCAGGGGACCCCGAGGAGCGTTCATTTACTCCCCAGTCCGTCGCGAAGTGCCTGTCACATGCCAGGCGTTGTGCTGGACACAGAGGAGAGGGTGGTGGCCAAGTGTGATGAGGCCCCCACGTCCATGGGGCTTCTGGTCTGGGAGAGCAGGGAGGACCATAAAGCAACGCAGGTGATGGCTTCACGCGGTGATGATGAGCTTGTGCCACGAGGCAGGGCAGGAGGGTGAGACTCCCGGAGAAGGCTTTAAAGCTGCCAGTTGGAAGGACCGGGGAATGTTCCACAGGAAGGGGACAGCCAGGTCCAAGGCCCTGGAGCAAGACAGGACAGCCACTGCGAGGGACCTACAATGAGGCCTGAAGGCCCACATGGCGGTGGTCAGGAACCAGAGGGTGCCTTGTAAGGATAGCTGGGCCCCTGCAGGGCTGACCCTGGGGGGCTTGCTGAGGAGAGCCTGAGCCCTGAGAACAGGCAGCCCCGGTGGGTTGCGAGTGGGGGAGGGCAGCGTCTGCTCTGGCTCTGGGTGCAGAAGTGGCTGGTGGAGCGTGAGAGGTCACTGGAGACAACCCTTGGGAGCACTTGCAGCCATCCAGGTGGGAGGGGATGGTGCCTGGGCCTGGCGGGCAGCGGTGGAGCCGGAGAAAAGGGATCAGTATGTCCTCCCTTGCTGCCGTGTCCCGGGTCCCAGCTCTCAGCTCCCAGAGACACTGCTTAGGAAGTCCCTCCCAGTTGCCATGGATTAGGGGGTGGGAGGGGAGGCTGGCTGCCGGCAGGGAATGTGGCTTTGTGCTTGGCAAACAAAGAACAGAGCTTGGGGCCCTCTTCTCCTGGGGGTGGGGCGGACCAAGAGGCTGTTGACAGGAGCAGAGGCCGAACCACAGAGCTGGCCTGGCAGGAACGGGCTGGGCCTCCAGGAAGCAGGGGAGGTGCCCATCTGAGGGATCCCAGGGCCCTTCTAGGGTGAACCCTGGGCTGCTGGGTTGGGTCGGGGTGCCAGGCTGGTAGAGGGATGTGGCCTGAGGGCCCTGGGTCGGGGAACAGATGCTTTGGAGTTGTGAGGGGCTGGGGGCTGTGTGTGGAGGGGCAGGAGGAGGCTCACAGGACCCCCTCACCCCAGACCGGCTGTTTTCTCACCTGCAGCTGCCCTGCTGAGGCCCTGCCCTCCCCGCCCTGAGGTGGGGACCACCAGGATGAGCAAACCGCCTGGGGAGCTGGCCCGCGACCTGGAGCGCAGCCTGCCAGCCGTGGCCTCCCTGGGCTCGTCGCTGTCCCACAGCCAGAGCCTCTCCTCGCACCTACTCCCGCCACCTCCCGGGAAGCGCCAGGCCATCTCTGACGTGCGCCGCACCTTCTGCCTCTTTGTCACCTTCGACCTGCTCTTTATTTCCCTGCTCTGGATCATTGAGCTGAACGTGAGTGGGGGTGAGGCTGGGGGCCACCTTGGGGGGTCCACTGGGCCTCGGGTCATCATCCCTTTGCCCAGGGGAAGGCCACCTGTCCCGTGGGGTTGACTGGGTGAAGAAAAGACTGAATGGGCAATGATATCCATTCACATCGCTGGCTGAAGAAAACGGAGCCGAGTCCTTTGGCCCAGGTCCTTGAGCAAGTGTGTGAAGAAGGCAGATTGAACCACTCTGGTCCAGAGGTCACACCCCGGCCTCTGCACCGTGCTGCCCCCTAGTGGAGACTAAGAATGAGGACCCGGACACAGTCTGGCTGAGCTGTTGAAACCTTTGTCTTTTGGCCCTAACTTATCCTCAGGCTCCCATTCGTTTATTCATTCATCTTTTGAATCACTCATCAGACGTTTGTTGAGCCCCTGCTGTGTCCTAGGTGCTGTGCTAGAAGCAGAGGACAACAGTGGGGAGTACAACAGTAAAAACTCAGGGCCGGTGTTCGGCACAGGAGCTGGTGTTGGCCTGGTGATTAAGGTGACTGCGGCCAGTGCAGAAGCTCACTAGGCTAATCCTCCACCTATGGCGCCGGCACCCAGGGCTCTAGTCCCGGTTGGGGTGCCAGATTCTGTCCCAGTTGCTCCTCTTCCAGTCCAGCTCTCTGCTGTGGCCCGGGAAGGCAGTGGAGGATGGCCCAAGTGCTTGGGCCCTGCACCCGCATGGGAGAACAGGAGAAGCACCTGGCTCCTGGCTTCGGATCAGCCACAGTGCGCCGGCCTCAGCGCGCCAGCTATAGCGTCCATTTGGGGGTGAACCAACGGAAAAGGAAGACCTTTCTCTCTGTCTCTCACTAACTCTGCCTGTCAGAACAACAATAAAAAAAAGATGCCTGCATCACATATGGTTTAGTACCTGCCTCTCTGCCTTCGGCCTTCAGCTTCCTGCCAATGCAGACCCTAGGAGGCAGCAGCCATGGCTCCAGTGAGTGGGTTCTAGTCCCTGATGGGGGAAACAGAGATCGAGTTCCCAGCTCTTGTCCTCAGCCCAGCCGGCCCAGCCCTGACAGCTGTGGGCAACCGGGGGGTGAGTCAGTGGTTAGGAGCTCATTCGCTTTCTGCGTCTCAAATAAATGAGTAAAAATCAAAAACAGCGACGACGACAAGCAAACCAGTAGGAACTCTCAGATCATAGGGGCTTCAGTTTTAGTGAGATGTTGCTTGGTGGCCTGGAGACAGAGCTGCCTCGTGGCACAGGGTCTGCACCCCACCCCTGTCCGCTCAGTGCGTGGCCCTCCCTGGCTGGTGGTAGGGCCTGATCGGACCTGCAGGCACAGCACACAGAGGAAGGAGCCCTGGGAGCGAGTGTCCCAGGCTTGGGCTGGCCCAGCTTGTTTCTGTTTTTCATTTTTAAAATGTTTAATTACTTTGGAAGGCAGGAGAGACAGAGAGAGAGAGAGAAGCCATCTGCTGGTTCAGTTCCCAGATGCCTGCACCGGGGCTGAGCCAGGCCAAGCCAGGAGCTAGGGAACTTAAATCCAAGTCCATATGTGGGTGGCAGGGACACAGCTACTTAGCCGTCACTGGCTGCCTGCCGGGGTGTACACTAGAATGAAGCTGGAATTGGGACTCCAACCCAGGCACTCCAAGACGGGATGTGGGCACCCCAAGTGGAGTCTTTTTTTTTTTTTTTTTAAGATTTCTTTATTTATTTGAAAGGCAGAGTTGCAGAGTTACAGAGAGGCAGAGGCAGAAAGAGAAAGTCTTCCATCTGCTGGTTCATTCCACAAATGGCTGCCATGGTTGGAGCTGGGCTGATCGGAAGCCAGGAGCCAGGAGCCTCCTCCAGGTCTCCCGCGTGGGTGCAGGGACCCAAGGACTTGGGCCATCTTCCACTGCTTTCCCAGGCCATAGCAGAGAGCTGGACTGGAAGTAGAGCAGCCAGGACTAGAACCAGCACCCATATGGGATGCCGGCACTGCAGGTAGCAGCTTTACCTGTTATACCACAGCACCAGCCTCCCCCAAGTGGAGTCTTAACCACCGCACCAAATGTCCGTCCTGTCCTCCTGGACTGTGACCCTGGTGCCTGCCCTCACTTTCCTTCCATGAGCTTACCTGGGTGCAAGGACCCTTCCTCCAGCTCTGAAGCATGGGGACAGGAAGGTGAGGCCTCTGATAGAAGTGGGGAGCCGGGGGAAGGGCTGGTCAGGGGCCAGAGGATGGGTTTGCTGAGCTGGAGGGAGGGCAGGGCTCTGACCGTGACTGTCCTTTGGGCACCAGAGGAGAGCTGGTGCCTCCAGTGAGAAGAGGCATAGCCCTTCAGGGCCCTCGCACCCACCCAAAGGATGAGAAAACAGGCCAGCAAGGCTTTGGGTTGTTTGCAGTGCATCTGTGGTCTTAGGCTTTCTTTCCCCTCAAAGTCCCATCCAACGTCAAAGCAAACACTGAAATCCACTCCCACCCCATGTTCAGGGCACAGTTTTCTTTTCTTTTTTTTTTTTTTTAAGATTTATTTATTTATTTGAAAGTCAGAGTTACACAGAAAGAGAAGGAGAAGAAGAGAGAGAGAGAGAAAGTTCTTCCATCCGTTGGTTCACTACCCAGATGGCTACAACAGCCAGAGGTGGGCCAATCTGAAGCCAGGAGCCAGGAGCTTCTTCCTGGTTTCCCAAGTGGGTTCAGGGGCCCAAGGACTTGGGCCATCTTGTACTGCTTTCCCAGGCCATAGCAGAGAGCTGGATCGGAAGTGGAGCAGCCGGGACCCGAACCGGTGCCCATATGGGATGCTGGCACTGCAGGCGGCAGCTTTACCTGCTAGGCCACAGCGCTGGCCCCAAGGGCACAGTTTCTTACCAACAAAAGGCTGAGAATGCTTTGCTAGTTTTACTTTTGTGATCATTTGGCTGTCGGCTAAGTGCCCCACAGTGATGGTGCACACTGGGAACTGGGGCCTGGTGAGAAAATCTACCCTGTGACGTGCCTGCAAACGTAGCAGGAGCTTTCGAATGCCGCGTCCAACAACTGGTAGAGTCCACGCGGCGTGTCCTTCGTGGACTTTGACAGACACTTAAATTAAGCTTTTCGTAATTCTCAGAGTTGCAGCCTTATTTTCGTGTTTCGGAGCCTATCCGCTTGTCACCCTCTGATAAACCGTGTTTGTGTGGCCTGAGGGGCCCCAGCAGGGGCGGTGGGCAGGGCGGGGTCTTCCAGGCACAGACCAGCAAAGCAAGGAGGGAAACTCAGCCCTCCTGAGGCCCGATGCAGTCTGTGCTGTGGGAACTGGGGGAGGGCAGGAGGCTGAGGACAGCAGCTGCCCGGGGGAGGGGCTGTGGAGTTCAGGAGGGAGCCGCCTGAGGAGCAGGAGGGCTGTCACCCTGGGCCTCAACAGCAGGCCTAGTGGCCGGGCTTCATGGGCTCAGGGCGGTCCTGGGATGTGTCTGCCTGCCCTGAAAGCCCTGGACTTTACGAAGATCCCCTGGGGCTCAGCTCAGACCCAGGAGCCTGAGCATCTGTGCCTTCAACAAGCCCCTCCCTCCACCCAGATGGCTCGCGGGAGCTCAGACAGCGCCCGTCTGCTTGGTGGACATGAAGGCTCTTCCTCCTCAGGACTCCAGGCTGCATCCACCACAGTGCCCTGGTCCTGCCTTCCCCAGGGGGCCCGGGCCCACGCTTACGCAGAGGATGCAGGTCGGAGTCCGGCTCTCAGTGTCCATCCAGACCCCTGGACGCGAGTCCAGGCCAAGGTCTCGGGTGCCGGTGAAATATGCGGTGGGCTGGGTCAAGGACAGGGCGATGGGCTGAGTCTGCTGACGCCACGCCGTCCCCTCCAGCAGCGTGATGGATTCTGCCCACTACGCACAAACCTACTCAATTGGTTGGCACCTGGGGCTCTGTCTGACGCCGCTCCCACCCCAGCCCCTGTCGCCCCAGATGGAGTGTTGGCTGGGAAGGTGGAGCACCGCAGTTCTGGGAGGGAGGTGAAGTCACGCGAGAGGCAGGCCCCCACCACTGTCAGCCCGGTGTGCCTATCGCCTCCGCTCCCTGCTCCCGAGGCCCCCAAGCCTGCCCTTTGCTGGGAAGTTACTCGAACCCAGCCCTGCCCATGTGGGCTGCCTGGATCCTTAGGGGAACAGCATTGGTGCCTGGAGTCTCGGGCTTCTGGCTGAGCTTGCTTGGTGCTTAGGGGTGCGTCTGGGTGGTGGCTCAGCATTTTAGCTAAGGTCTGGGGCAGGGCAGCCCTGGGGGCTTGGTTCCGCCTCAGAGCTCTCCCGGTCTCCCTTTCCCAGACCAACACGGGCATCCGCAGGAACCTGGAGCAGGAGATCATCTACTACAGCTTTAAGACCTCCTTCTTTGACATCTTTGTGAGTGGCCTTGGGAGCCCCTGGGGACCGGGGCAGGGGGTAGAGGGGAGCAGGACGTGACTCGCCTGGATTCTCCTCCTGCAACTCCTCCAGCCTGATCAGGAAACCTTCAGTCTTCAGGAAGTTTCCGTAACAAGGCCCCACCTTCAGGGAGCCCCAAGTAGGAGGGGGAACTGCAGACCCCAAGGTCGTGTCCTCAGTGTGCCCCCAGGCATGCATGGGCCAGGTGGACGGGAGGTCGGCTTCAGCCAGGGTCGGGGCACTGGCTGCCCCTGATGGCTTGGCGCCCTCCCCTGCCAGGTCCTGGCCTTCTTCCGCTTCTCGGGACTGCTCCTGGGCTACGCGGTACTGCGGCTCCGGCACTGGTGGGTGATTGCGGTAAGATGCCCCTTTCCCAGCAGCCCTCGGGCCCTGGTGGGGCTGGGGCAAGGGAAGGGATGCTGGAGGACTCACTCCCCAGCCTCTGCCTTCCCTCCCTCCCTTCTCCCCTCCCCCGGGCAGATCACTACGCTCGTGTCCAGTGCTTTCCTCATTGTCAAGGTCATCCTCTCTGAGGTCAGTGACTCAGGGTCTGGTTGGGCTGGTGGGCATCCGACCAGAGGGCTGGGCTTCTCCTAAGAAATGGCCACTTCTCTGATTCTGGGTTTCGGTCCCTGCTGTCAAGGCTGGGGTGAGGCGGAGCTCTTTTCTAAAGAACCATTTTCATCGGCTTCCCCCATTTACCCCTCTGCAGCCTCAGGAATCAGGAAGTTCCTCCTCCAGTGCACCCCTAGCCAGGAGGGTCCCCAGGCAGCTGGTGCCGGGAGTGGGGTGTGTGCCAGTGGGCCGGCCAGTGCTGGTGGCCGCTGGAGAGAGCTCAGGGTCTGGGGTGACCCCCGCCATGAAGCTCAGCTCCTTCCCCCGACAGCTGCTCAGCAAGGGGGCTTTTGGCTACCTGCTCCCCATCGTCTCCTTCGTCCTCGCCTGGTTGGAGACCTGGTTCCTCGACTTCAAAGTCCTCCCCCAGGAGGCTGAGAAGGAGCGATGTGAGTGCTGGGGGTCAGGGTGCAGCCCTGAGGGAGGAGTGAGTCAGGATGGGGGGCAGGCCTGAGCCATCTGGCCGCCGCGGAGCTGCCTCCCCGCGCTGAGGGTGGGTGGCCCAGGCTGCTGAGCTGGGGCTGCCCTCGTCTGCTCCCCCAGGGTATCTTGCTGCCCAGGCTGCTGTTGCCCGTGGACCCCTCCTGTTCTCTGGCGCCCTGTCCGAGGGCCAGTTCTATTCACCTCCCGAATCTTTTGCAGGTGAGGGCTGGTGAGTGGGGGCGCTGCCTTCTGGGGGAGTGGGCTTTGTGAAGAGCAGGGTAGGCTGGGTCTGTTCTTTCTGTTCCTTCTACCAGGCTCCCAGGGGAAAGCCAGCAGCCCTCTCCCACACACCTCCAGCCCCCACATCCTTGCACTCACATCCCCGAACCCCACCGCCTCCGCACTCTCCCCACCCCTTGCCATTGTCATCAGTGCGTGTTTTCTGCAGGGTCTGACAATGAATCAGATGAAGAAGTCACTGGGAAGAAAAGTTTCTCTGCCCAGGTATTTCGCTGCCTGCCCCCACCCAACTGTCAGAAGGCGCGCCTGGAGCGGGGCCCGGGCAGGGCTCTGTCAGCATGGCCAGGGGGTTCCCAGTGGAGGGCGGGCAGCCTGAGTGCTACACAGCCCATCCATCCGCGCTGGCATTGGCCAGCAGGTCCCCATCTGCCTTGTGCTTGGGGACACCGGGAGGCGTGCTCAGACCCCCATCTGGCTGGGCGGCGTGCCGGGTGGCTGGAGAGAGAGAGCAGACCCTCGGTGACCCGCGGCCCCTCCTCTTGGGACCAGGAGCGGGAGTACATCCTGCAGGGGAAGGAGGCCACTGCAGTGGTGGACCAGATCCTGGCCCAGGAGGAGAACTGGAAATTCGAGAAGAACAACGTAAGAAGCCCCTCCTCCAGCTGACCTCCCCGCGCAGGTCACGACCTCTCGCTCCCCTGTCTGAAGCCTGAGAAACAGAGCTGAGGTTGGAGCGGGATCCCAGCCCGGGAGAGCAGGCGGCCCTCCTGCAGGAGGCCCGGCTCCTTCGGCTGTCCTGTCCCCTTCTGCTCCCACCCTCAGTCCTTGCCCCACTGCCGCTCTGCTCCCTTGGCCCCGGGCCCTGAAGGGGGAGCCACGCTTCTGCCTCTTGTCTCACGTGTTGTTCCATGACCAAAACGACATTATCTGGAAGCTGGAGATCACAAACACACCCCGGCCTCTCCCGCCCGCGCCTCTGGCGGCCCCTGTTGGTCTGGAGACGCGGTTCTTGGTGGCTGGGCCGCAGCTGGGCCTCCGGCTTTCAGCTCGGTGTCGGAAGCCCCTCTCCCTCCTCCCCTCGCGGCCCGTGTTTGTCAGAATCGCTGTTTGTTACCGGCTGCCCAGGTTTCCCCAGACACGCCTTCCCCGCTTGCACCCATTCCTGTGCCAGCAGCCCACCCAGGCCCTCTGCCCTCCTCCCTGCCACAGGAATACGGGGACACCGTGTACACCATTGAGATCCCTTTCCACGGCAAGACGTTCATCCTGAAGGTGAGCAAGGGCAGAGTGCGTCTGGAGCCTTGTGCTCTGTCTGGAACCCCGGGGGAGCCTGAGGGGCCCTCGGGCATGGCCCCCCGCCAGAAGGAAGGGCTGGCGTGCCCGAGCCCTTCTGGGACCACCCAGCCCCCACCCACCCTGCCGCAGACCTTCCTGCCCTGCCCCGCGGAGCTGGTGTACCAGGAAGTGATCCTGCAGCCCGAGAGGATGGTGCTGTGGAACAAGACGGTGACGGCCTGCCAGGTGAGCTCACAGGCACCTCGGAGACGAGGGCGGGGCCTGTGACGCTTGGCACGGTGTGCGCCACTTCGCCCTGCACGGAGGGGGCTGACAGTCAGTGTCTCCTGGACAGGAGAGGCAGGAGGAGCACTCTAGAACGCCCAGCCGGGGCCTGTGAAGGGGAATAGCTCTTAGAGTAAAGGGACCTGGGCAGACGACACGCAGATGCGTGTGGCCGGGGAGGGGGTTCCTAGATGCTGGGACCCTGTCCCTGGGACTGTCCTGGGCTGGGCTGCACCTGAGGTCCCCCCAACCCCGATGGTCCTCAGATCCTGCAGCGGGTGGAAGACAACACCCTCATCTCCTACGATGTGTCTGCAGGGGCCGCCGGTGGGGTGGTCTCCCCCAGGTGAGTGCCCCCAAGTCCCCTTCTCTCAGCCCAGCCACCTGCACTTGGATCTTGGGGTCTGCACCCACCCACCCCCCCGCCAAGCTAACCCCTCCCTCCACCAGGGACTTTGTGAATGTCCGGCGCATCGAGCGGCGCAAAGACCGGTACCTGTCGTCGGGCATCGCCACTGTACACTGCTCCAAGCCCCCGACGCACAAATACGTCAGGTGAGCCTGGCCTGGCCTGGGGCCGGCCCTGCCAGCCCCTCCCCTGGGAGCAGTGGGCAGTGCAGGGTACGGTGTGTACAGCTTGGAGGCCACGTTCTTGTTCCCTGTCCTGCTGGGCCTTGCCCCTCCCAGCCCCTAATCCTGCTAATCTGGCTGCTGTGTCTATGGGAGATTGGGAGGGAGATGACAGCAGGAACTCAGGTGCCAGGGCAGGAGGGGACGTGTATGGTGGGCAGCGGGCCAGGGGTGGACTGAGGGCAGGGACCAGTCCAGGGAAGGGAGTGAGAGCCGGGAGGTCTATTGAGTTCAGGGTGTCCTCTTCCTGGGTGAGGGGACCTGGGTCCCCCTCTCCCTGTCCCCGCTGCCTTGCCTCTCTCCTGGAGCAGGGTGTCTGTCTCCCAGAGGAGGGGGCATCACCACCCCCCTGCTGCCTGTCCCGGACCCCCAGTCCTCCCCACCGACTAGTGTTGGACTGCAGCACTACAGGTGGCCAGCTCTCATAGATGTCCCTCCTCCCCGCCCCGTGCTGGCCACCAGCAGAGAGCACCGTTCCAGAATGTGAGGCCGGAGCCCTGGGCTTGGCACTCGGCTGGCTTGCTGGTCGACGGGGCCGTTGCCTTCCCTCTCTGGGTGCCGACTTCCTTATCTGTGGAGTGGGCTTGGGCTCAGGCCAACACCCACCTGGAATCCGCACAGAGCGGAGGGCTGGGACGGCAGTGAGCTCCTGCCACGGGCTGGTGTAGGATTCACGGGGCACAGAGCGGTGGAGGCAAGGGCTGACCCCAGCCTCTGGGACACCTGCTCCCCAGGGGAGCAGTTCGCAGACCGGCGCCTGCCCTTCCTCTCCCGCCAAGAGCGACGGGGGTGAACCTGTACAAGTCTGTGCGTGCGTGCGTGCGTGCGTGCGTGCATGTGCATGTGGGCCGGGGCCGCACTGGGCTCCAGAGCAGGCCCTAGTGGCGCCTTTCTCCTCAGGGGAGAGAACGGTCCCGGGGGCTTCGTCGTGCTGAAGTCAGCCAGCAACGCCCACGTGTGCACCTTCATCTGGATTCTTAACACAGATCTCAAGGTGGGCGCCGGGCCCGGGAGGAGCTCCCCGCCATGCTCAGGCCACCCTCCTCTCAGCCGCTTTTCTTACTTGGAATTTGGGGCAGGGTCCTCATGTTACCTCGTTCTCCCCTTTCTCACCTCCGTTCTGAGGCCCCGAGGAGGGGTGGCCAGCTGCCAGCCCAGCCCCACCCGCGTCTGTTTGTGTGGCCAATGCCAAGACCCAGGCACTGTGTGTGCTTCCCAGCGAGGGTGCGGCGAGAGGGGGCCTGGGCTGTATGCCAGAGCCGCGCCTGCCTTGTGGCCCAGGGCACCCCGTGGTCTCAGCCGTCAGGGGGGTCCCTGCCCCGGCCCAGGCTGCCGTCTTACCTTCCTGTAACTGCTTCCTGCCTCCCCCCCAGGGCCGCCTGCCCCGGTACCTCATCCACCAGAGCCTCGCAGCCACCATGTTTGAGTTTGCCTTTCACCTGCGGCAGCGCATCGGAGAGCTGGGGGCCAGGGCGTGACGGCGCCCCTTACCCACCCTGCAGGCCAGGGTCCTGTCACCACAGGCTCCAGAGGCAGGAAAACGGGGCCAGCTGGGCTTCCTGCTGCCCACACAGGACCTGGCCTCAGCGTGGGCGTCATCCTGGCCTTAGGCCAGCACCGACCTCTGAGCCTCACTGTGCCTGGGAGCCCCAGCCCTGAGCAGGCTGCGGGGCCGAGTGTTTGAACCCAGGGGCTGTGCTGGCGGATGGAAGTGGGGGCTGTCCTGCTGCCTCCCAGAGGAGATCACTGTCCCCGCCCTGGCCAGGGGCAGGGTCTGCGACAGGAGCCTCAGACTTGGTGGGGGCAGCCAGGGCCGGGCAGCGCCACCAGTGTTACGGGGAAAGCGCTCCTCATGTGCCCACCTGTCACGGCTTTCTGGGGTTCCAGAAAGGTCTGGGACCTTTCCCCGGACATGTGGGGCAGTGGGTGCTGGCAGGGAATCTCTGCCTCTCTCAGGCCTCCTTGGGGACCTTTGTAATTTGAGCCAATTAAAAAAACCATAAACTCAGACTAAGCACAAGCAGTCCTTGCCACCTGGACGTGGGCTGTGGACGGAAGAGGCCAGTACATGGGGAGGGGGCAGGAGGGAGCCAGCAGTGGCCAGGCGGGCACCTCAGCGGCTCCCTGGACGGACCCCGTGGCCAAGCAGTCAGAGGAAACTTCTCTGCCCCTGCCAGGCCTTGGGGAGGGCAGGCCTGGGTCTCCAGCCCAGGACAGGCGTGGGGGGTGGAGGGGAGGTGCCTGGCAGCGGCTTCAGCAGGCCCTGTGTGTGCCTGAGTCCCGACACCAGGGTGGCCTGGAGGTGGCGCCCGGGCTGCAGGGTCACTGAGGCACCTTGGGATCCCAGCCTCCTCCCCCGACCATAGGCACAGCAGGTCACAGGGAGCCTGGAGCCAGGCTCTGCTCTGCCCTCCTCCCTGCCTGCAGGGGTCGCAAGGAGCCCACCTGCTTAAGGCCAGGAGGATCCTGTCTGGCTCCTGGCCGCGTGTGGAACACTGGCCAGACCTACCTCTCTGAGCCTGCTTGTCCTGCTTTCTGAAAGCGGGGCTTGTGTCACAGGGTCACGGGGAGAGTGAAAGGTCCCGAGCGGGGGGCCTGGTGGCTCCGTGGTCAGCAGTCTGGGCTTCTGCACCCAGGGCCCAGCCAGCAGCTGCGGCCCCTGCTCTGCGTGCCCAGCTCCTCTCACCGCCTCTCCTGGTGCCCTCATTCCTCGCCGCCCCCCCCTCGCCACCACCCTGCACCCCAGCTTCTTGCGCAGTGAGTTGCCTCCTGGGGTGCTGGACTGTCCCCATGACCATCTTCCTCTCCTGCTCCCCGAGAACAAGAGATAGCCCCTCCCCGCTAGCAGGCCCCAAAGCTCCTCTGGTCATCGCATTATGGACAGGAAGTGGCGAAAGAGGCCCTGAGAGGGGCAGGGAACGACCCACGGTCACGCAGCCTGGTTATGGCCAGTGTGGGGCTAGAGCCAGTGCTGCCGCTCCTCAGAGCCCTTGGACGCCCCTGTCACCCCAGTTTGCCCCATGTGCAGGGTAAGGGCAGCGCTGGGGGCCGCCTCCACACCTGTCTCCTCCAGGCTGGCTCAGACCACTTGTCTGAGCGCTGCCCCCGGGGAAGGAAAATGCCTGGCAAGGCTTCGTGCCCCTGGGTGCCAGGTGTGCAGTGACACACGCCGCTACCGCTGCTAGCCCTGGCTGTGGTGGCAGGGACCAGGCCTGCAGGGCAGACGCCTGAGGACGTGGCGGCAGCGTCCCTTCTGCCGGAGGGGAATGGTCAGCGGATGTGCCCTTGAACCAGGCAGAGGAGAGCAGCAGGGGTAGGAGCCGCAGCCTTGGTGCCGAGCCGAGGGGCGCCCGTTCTGCCGTCCGCTGCTCTGTTTACAGACAAGCCACTGGCCTCCCTGGGCAGGGGCCAAGGCGGCACGAGGCTAGGCATGTGCCTGCTCTGCGGTGGCCTGAGCAGTGTCCAGCACCTGCAGGGGTTGCTCTGAGGACCCCGCCCCCTCGCCAAGAGTATCTCAGGTAGCTCCACAAGCTGACCTCTGACCTAGGAGCAGCCAGAGACCAGGTACCCCAACCCCCGCCCTGGGCTCCGCATCCCCCAACAGTGAGTCTTGGCTCTGCTTTTAGCATGTGACGCCAGAGGGCCCGAAATAGCCCCTGGAGAAGGGGGAGGAGGGGGCTATTTAAAGGGCCTGGGCCCTGCGGCAGAGGGAGTGAGGAGTGACCATGGCCGCCTCGGAGCTGAGCTGCCAGGTGTCGGAGGAGAACTGCGAGCGCAGGGAGGCGTTCTGGGCAGAATGGAAGGACCTGACGCTGTCCACACGGCCTGAGGAGGGGTGAGTCTCTGCCCCCCGAAAAGCACCTCCCTGAACCAGCTGAGGCCATGGAGATATCCCTGGGGTGGGGCAGGAAGTGTGCCCACTGGGGGGAGCAAAGTGGCCGCCCCTGCTGCTGCCCCGGGCGCCCCTCGCGCGGCTCACAGTCCCCCTCCTCCTTCCAGCTGCTCCCTGCACGAGGAGGATGCCTGGCGGCGTGAGACCTACCACCAGCAGGGCCAGTGCCAGGCGCTGGTGCAGCGTTCCCCCTGGCTGGTGATGCGAATGGGCATCCTCGGCCGCGGGCTGCAGGAGTACCAGCTGCCCTACCAGCGCGTGCTGCCGCTGCCCATCTTCACGCCCACCAAGGTGGGCACCAAGGACGAGCGCGAGGACACCCCCGTCCAGCTGCGGGACCTGCTGGCGCTGGAGACAGCCCTGGGTGGCCAGTGCCTGGAGCGCCAGGATGTGGCCGAGATCACCAAGCAGCTGCCCCCCGTGGTGCCTGTCAGCAAGCCTGGAGCCCTGCGTCGCACCCTGTCCCGCTCCATGTCCCAGGAAGCACAGAGAGGCTGAGCAGGACCAGGACCCGGGCTCTGCTGTGCCCACCCTGGGCTGGGCCCTTCCTGCCTAGGAGCGCCAAGGGGAGTCGCTGGCCCGGGATGCTTTGTAGTTTGCCCGGAGTTGGGGGCTAGGGAGGAGGGAGCCAGAGGCCAGGGTGCCTGGGTCCCCTGAGTGCCCAGTGGGAGGGGAGCTAGGCGGTGGGCACTAAGAGTGGAGAGCTGGGGGCCAGCACAGCCGAGCACCCTCAGCCCCAAGGGAAGGGACAGAAGATGCTGGAGAGGGCGACAGGACCCTGAGAAGAGTGACCTGGTCCAGGTGTCAGTTCCGGAGGACTGCAAGTGTGAGGGGACCGTGCTGGAGACCGGAGGGAGGGGGACGTGAAGAGGGCGGAGGTAGGGAGGAGCCCCCGGCACCCTCTGTTAGCGCTGCAATAAATGCTCCCCCGTGTTCCAGGCTCGCCTCTTTCCTTGTGGTGGTGGGGGCCAGCCCATCAGTGTCCCCCCGTGCCCGCTTCTGGGAACAGGTCCTGCAGCTAAATATGGCAGAGCCAGTGGGTACACCCATGCTTGGGGGAGCAGGGACAGGGCTGTAAACAGGGTGTCTGTCCAGTCCCCTTCCCGGACCCAGACTCCACTGCCAGCCCTGGCTTCTGTGTCCAGCCCCCTGGCACTGGGCAGTAGCCAGCAGGCCAGCTGGCAGCCTGCACTTGTTTAAATGATGTCTCACGGAGACTATGGAGGGGGCTGGCACCAGCCCTGTCCTTGGCCGTGCCTCAGGGTGTGTCCAGGGTCAGTGACCCCAAGGCTACCCTACTCAGTTCTGAATCCAGACAGAATCAGTCCTTGGCTGGGGGTCAGGCGCTCCACCTTCCCTGGCCTGGGAGCCCAGGGTGGATTGCTAGGGGCCACAGGGGTCAGGTTCCTGTCTGTTACCCCTGCAGCTGTCATGGTGACTCATGTCCCACCCTGGCTGCCCGGCCCAACAAGGAGATTAAACCCTTGGAACAGGAGGGATAGACGCAGAGGAGGCCCAGGTCAAGGTGGCCAGGGCCGGTCCCAGCCGGGGCTGTGGCCTGGGCAGAGGCAGAGGGGCATGGGTTCCAAGGGGGTCCCATTTCAGGAAGCTCAAGGAGAGCAGGAAGGGAACGCCTGGCTGCTGTGCCAAGCAGAACCTGCAGAGGGGGCTGAAGTGCGGCTGGGAGAGGGGGCCGAGGCCCAGACCCGTGGGACCTCAGATCCGTAGGCTCCCAAAGGCCCTTACTGGGCCCTGGAGGCCCAGAGACAGCCCCTGGGCTTTGCCCTCACCTGAGTCCTGCATCCCTGACTCCCCGACGTGGTGGGAACATCTCGAGCCCTCTGCCCACAGATAAGCAGCTGGGAGCCCGCCGAGCCCGCGGGGGAGGCCCTGTGTTCCAGCTGCTAAATGCATTAGCCTCCCCTATCGCTGCCGCCATCCAACAGGCGGGACCCAGCCTGCCCTGGGGCCCGGGCCACCATGCAATAGCGGTGGGAACGGATTGTCCTTTGTCGAAGGGGGAGGACCAGGTGCTGGGGGGGGGGGGGAGCTGCATGAGGGGTGGGGAATGGGACTAGGGGTGACATAGAAGGGAAGGGTTTTCGTGAGGAAGAAGCGCCAGACGGGGGTCTGGGGCCCGGGGCTGGCGGCTGGGGGCTCATTTGAACCTTGGGAGGGAAGGATGCGAGGCCAGGCACATGGAGGCAGTGGCTCAGGCTGTGGGGAGCTGGAGACAAGAGACAGGAAGGGTGGGGCTCGGGCGGTGGGGGCTCGGGGCCCAGGCAGAAGGCAGCGGAGCGGGGTGGGGGCGGGAGCTGATGTTCCTGCGGCGTCCCTCATCCCCACCCCTGTGTCTGCGGCGGGAACACTAACTCAGATGGATGGGGTGGGGAGATGCGGCGTGCGTGGCCCCGGGCGCCTCATCGCTCAGCCGCCGCCCCCGCCGCTGAAGGCCGGGTTGGGGTCCGGCGGTGGATAAAGGGGCCGCCGGACGAGCGGGACACAGGGACGGCCGCGGCAGCAGCATGAGCCAGGCAGACACCAGCCACCCTGCGGGCGCAGCAGCCTCCGACTCGGACCCAGGCCGGGCGGCGGTCGCCTTGGCCTACCAGCGCTTCGAGCCCCGCGCCTACCTCCGCAACAACTACGCGCCCCCTCGCGGGGACCTGAGCAGCCCCGATGGCGTTGGGCCTTGGAAGCTGCGCTGCTTGGCGCAGACCTTCGCCACGGGTGAGTTCAGGGAAACTGAGGCACGTGATACAAGACCTCATTGGGGAGCAAAAAGGGACGAGAGGGCGTCAGGTGGGGGGCCAAGAGGCAAAGGCGGGGGCTAACACGCAATCAGAAGGGAAAGCTAAGAGGACCAAGGAGAGAGGTGGCGGGGGAAGGCAGAGATTGGGCAGGGAGAGGCTCGGCCAGGCAGCTCGGGACTCCCCCAGGAATCCTCACTGACAGCTAGTTTTCCAGGTGTGGGATGTGAGTCTCAGGGAGGTCAAGTTCCTTTCCCAAGGCCTTCGATGGAGCCAGGACCCACCTGGCTTCAGTCTGAATCCAAACCCAGTGCTTCCTCCTGCTGGGAGACAGGTTTATGGGGGATGGCAGGCGAGGGAGGGGGGACAGGGCAGGCCTGGCACCAGGACACGGTCCTCTCCCTCGTCCAGGTGAGGTGTCCGGACACTCCCTCATCGACATCGGTTCAGGCCCCACCGTCTACCAGCTGCTCAGTGCCTGTGCCCACTTTGAGGACATCACCATGACCGATTTCCTGGAGGTCAACCGCCGGGAGCTGGAGCTGTGGCTGCGGGAGGAGCCGGGGGCCTTCAGCTGGAGCGCCTACAGCCAGCACGTCTGCTGCATCGAGGGCAGGGGGTAATGGCTCTGGGTGGTGTCTGGCTGGGAGTGGGTGGCACAGGGCGGCCGAGGGCTGTGTGGGGGGCCGTCCTGAGCTTCGCCTTGTGCCTCCACAGTGAGTCCTGGCAGGAGAAAGAGCGCCAGCTGCGGGCCAGGGTGAAGCGAGTGCTGCCCATCGACGTGCACCAGCCCCAGCCTCTGGGTGCTGGGAGCCCGGCACCCCTGCCTGCTGACGCCCTGGTCTCTGCCTTCTGCCTGGAGGCCGTGAGCCCGGATCTTGCCAGCTTCCAGCGGGCCCTGGGCCACATCACCACGCTGCTGAGGCCTGGGGGGCACCTGCTCCTCATCGGGGCCCTGCAGGAGTCGTGGTACCTGGCTGGGGAGGCCAGGCTGGTGGTGGTGCCCGTGTGTGAGGAGGAGGTGAGGAAGGCTCTGCAGCAGAGCGGCTACGAGGTCCGGGACCTTCGTACCTACTCCATGCCTGCCCACCTCCAGACAGGCGTCGATGACGTCAAGGGCATCTTCTTTGCTTGGGCCCAGAAGAAGACGGCAGTGGGGGTGTGAGGCCCCAGTGTGCTGCACGGCCCTCGGCTCCCAGAGCCCCTGTCACGTGAAGTGCATCCAATAAAGGCAGACGTGCCTGCTGCATTGCGCCAGTGTGGTCTGTGCCCTCCCTGGGAAGCAACACAGGCCGAGAGATCTCTTCCACGTTGGGGGGGTGGGGGAGGCACCAGCTCTAGCCCTTCAAGCTTCAATGAGGGACACTTGCTGTGTCACTCATTCTTTCCAAACTTAGGAAAGCCAAGGTCAAGGGGGAGTTCATCCAGCACCCTGCTGTGTGCCGGACCTTGCAATGTACAGACACTTCGATCACCCCATCCAGTCCGTGCATTTGTTCAGTCCTGTTAGCCAGTTTCCAGGCAAAGCTCAGCAAAACAGAGCGTGGCAGGGCCTGGCTCGGACCACAGGTGGGGAGAGACTGGAGCAGGATTTGCATGGGGGTGGTGAGGTGCTGCAGCCCAGCCCAGGCCCAGGCAAGGGGGCAGAAAACAAGTGCCACCAGCTCCCCCCCAGCTGGACCTCACCCTCCCACCCCTGTGAACTTCAGCAGAGACCCCCAACCCCGTCGAGTGCCTCCAGCCAGCTCCAGGGCCCCCACCTCCTCCTCCATGCAGCCCACTGTACACAGTAATGGAGCTGTACAAGAGAAGGTGAGACAGAGAATTGTTTATTAGGCACGTCCCTTGCCACCCTCCCACCTTAAAATAGTTTCCAGTATCAAAAGAACCTAACAAAGGCCGCCCCAGTCCCTGAGATTGGAGTCCTGGCACAGTCCCCTACCTCCCGGGGAGGGACAAGGGGGCAGGGACAGAGCAAGAACCCAGTCTCCCTATTTCAGGCACAGGCACTGCCTTTGGGAAAGTTTCCGGAGCTCCACATTCCATGGGGGGGGGGGGCAGGAATGTGCCAGGGCTGCCGGCAACTCCAGGGGGTCACCTTTACCAGGACACCGGCAGAGCATGGCCCCTGCCTGCCTCACAGCCACCCTGGAACAGCGAGCCCCTCTGGGCTCACCAGCCACAGGCTTTCTCCCCTCCTCCCTCAAAGAGCAGGCACCAGGAGGGCGAGGCCGTCAGGCCTGGGCAGGGCGGCAGGCCGCGAAGGGCCCTGGGGACCCCTATTTCCCTCCCTCCTCTTCCTTCCCAGAGGCTGGCTCTAGAGGGTGGTTCTAAGTTGTGGGACGTCCTGTTGGGGCTGGGAGGGGTGGCGAAGGTACACCGGGCACACACATGGCGAGCCTGGACCCCAGCCCCAGCCTGATCGGGGGGATATCCTGGCTGCCTGGCTGGGCCTTGGGCAGAGCTAGTGCTCAATGGCTGTAATGGTGACTTAGTTCCCCCCATCCTGCTCCCCCCAACACACACACACCCACAGCACATTCACCAGCATCCATTCCCAGGCACAGCCCACAGGCACACTCACAGTCTATGCAAAATCCCCCCACCCACACAACCCCCTTGCCCCCTGAACACACACACTCCGTTCTCCACACTGCACGCCCAGGGCTGAGCTCATGGTCTGGCGCCCCTGCACTGGGCCTGACCCATGCTCCCTGCACTGGGCCTGACCCATGCTCCCCTGCACTGGGCCTGACCCATGCTCCCTTGAACCTCATGGAGCCTCCCAAGCCAAAAAGCAGCGCAGGACTTTTGTTCTGGGCTCGGAGGGGAGTATGCGAGGCTTCCTGGGCATCTGGCTGCAGCAACAGTCAGGTGGAAACCCATTCCCATCCCGGTCCCTGCAGCTTGGGCCTTCAATTGAGGTCCCATGGGGACAATGAGATTGGACCGCAGATTTAGGTGGCCGAAGAGCAAGCATCCAGTGCCACCTAGTGGTGTCCTGGAGGAGCGCATGGTAACAGAGGGGCCTTCCCTGTATCCCCAGAGGCTGCTGGGAACAGATCTCCTCAGTACACAGAGGGCTCCGGGCCCCAGTGGGGGTGGGGGGTGGGGGTGCTGCTGGTGCTGGGGAAACAGAGGCATGTCTCAGCAGACCTAAGAATCCACTCGGTTCCATCCCCGTTCAGCTCCAGGAGCTAGATCGGCAGCCCAATCTCTGGCCCCGAGACCTGGGGAGGCCCGCAGTGGGTGGGCAGCCACATGATTCTGAGCCCACAACTCTCAAGTTCAAATTTGAGATGCCAAAAGGAAAAAAAAAAATCATCTCAAAGGTTGAGTGGGGGAGAGTCAGCAGGGAGGGGGCAGGCTCCCCCACTGGGCAGCCCCGCTCCCAGGGTCTTCAGTCCAGCTTGAACTTGGCCTCAGACTCCTTCAGCAGGTACAGGCTGTCATCTTTCAGAAAACTTTGGGGAAAAGGGGGGACCCCGCGAGGGTCTCCTGCTCTGAAACCTCCTTGGGAGGGCAGCCGGGCAGTGCCAGTAAGGCCAGCAAGGCCAGAGCGTGTGCGTGGGCACCCAGGGCTGGGGGGGGGGGGCTAAGGGGCAAAAGGGGCAGGGGAGGGAGGGCTAAGGGAGATGAGCGCCGGGTGGGGACGGCACCCACCTGAAGAAGAGGACGTGGACAGGGATGGTGCTGATGTGCCAGATGGCGTGGGCATCCAAGACCCAGAAGAGAGGCGGGAAATCAAGCAGCTCGAGCAGGGACAGCCCCTGCAGCAGCACGACCACCCCCACGCACTTGCGCACGTGAGGCAGCCGCCGCTGGTTCCGCAGGCACCAGGCCAACCACCACACCAAGTTCACCAGGCCTGTGTGATGGTGCGGGGGGTGGGGTGGGGTGGGGAGCTCATTCCCTGCACCGTGGCCACCTCTCCAAGGCCACCGCAACCCACGCTCCCCTCTGAGCCTCCCTCCCCCACCCCAAGGGCCTCTCCAGAACCTCCTGCGCCCACCCCAGCCTCACCCATGGCCACGTTGGCCGCCAGGTTGTAGCCGTAGTCAAAGCGGACGAGGCTCAGGTAGGACACATGCGCGGTCAGCAGCAGCAGCAGGAGGACCCGGAAGGCGGCAGCCACAGCTGGGTGCTGCAGCCCCACAGTCCTGCCGCAGGCCCGGAGTCGCTCAGAGGGCGCCAGGGGCCGGCCCAGAACAGCAGCCTCCAAGGCCACCGCCCCCTGCCACCCAAAGGTCCAGCTGGGCAGCCTCGTGTCGCCCCAGGGCCTGCGGCCAGGTCTGCAGCTCCTTGTGAGGATCCAGGACTCCAGCCCTCCCCCAGGGTCCCATGCAGGACGGCCCACAGGGGAGACCAGGGAAGGCCCTGGGGCTCTCCTGGCTGAAAGAGCCGACAAAGGCTGGGTGAGCCCCTCCCGCCCTGGCTCTGCCCCTGCAGCCAGCAGGGAGGGCTCACCTGACGCAGCACAGGTAGATGGAGTGGAGGATGACGGTGGAGGCGCAGAAGTAGTCCATTTTCTGAGGACAGGGAGGGCCGAAGGTGGGGCCAGAGAGGACCCAGCGTGGGCCAGTGCACAACCACGCGCTCACGGGGGCGGGGTGTCCCGGGGCCTGCAGTCAGTGGGGACCGTGTCTCCTGCTCCTTCTGCCTATTGCTGTTTCATTGCTGAATTGAACAGACTGGCCCTGTGTTCAGATCGCGCTGGGCGGCCTGGCTTGGGCCGCAGTGCAGACGCTGGCGCTGGGGACTGTGTGCTCCTTCCTAGCCGGGTGGCCCTAGCAAAGGACTTCCCCTCTCCAGGGCTCAGCGACAGAGAGCTCAGTCACCAGGAGGGCAGAGGGCCCGGCGCGCGGGGAGCAGCACGGGACCGGCCCGCAGCGGAGGGGGCACTCACCTCGGTAAGGTCGGTGTCCCTGGTGTGGAAAACTGTGGACCAGAACCAAGCGTTGAGGGACACCTGAAGGGGGAAAGCCTGGTCAGAGCGCTACCCCTGCCCCTGCACCCACCCCCATCACCTCCTCTTAGGGATGGGGCTCTGTGGGGGTGAGGAATGGCTTCCCCACCCCCCCACCATCACCCCAAGCCCTCCAAGGCCGGGGGGAGGGGGCTGCAGCCTCCAGACTCGGGCCTAGCTTGGGAACCAGTTCTGGCAGATCCAAGTTCCCTGGTTACTCAATCGCTAAGACAACAGCCCCCGGGGGCCTCACCTCCTTCCCCACCCGGCCCAAGGCAGCTGATGACCTCAGCCTCTGGGGGCGGGAAGGCGGTAGGTGGGGCTGAGGGCTGGAGCCAGCTTGGGGTGTGTCCCCGGCAAGGCAAGCAAGCAGGGAGGGAGATCAAGCAGATCCCACTGGAGTCCAGTCCTGAGCAGGAGGCCGCCAACTTAGCGCAGCTTCCTCCTGGCTGGGCCTGTCCAACCCGCCAGACCAGTGGCTGCTCTGAGCCCTGGGTGGGGGCAGGGGCAGCACTGGAGGGGCTGTGGTGGGCGAGGGCCTAGGAGGGGGGTGTCTGCGGCTGCAGGGAGAGATTCCAAATCATCCTGCAAATGAGCCCCGGGTCTTGCGGGAGTCGGTGCTGGCACCCATTTGGGGGACTTGGCCCCAGGAGGGATGTGGTAGGGTGGGAGAAAGCCTGGAAGGCAGGGTGGGACACTGCCGGGCAGGGGAGGGCGCAGTGCCAGGGCCCGCAGCAGGGGGGTCAGAGGGCAGGAACGGCTCCTGGATGCAGGCCCGCGGAGTTGAGGTGGGCAGGGCCCCAAAGCCCACTGGGTATTTTCGTGTTGCCAGGCTCAGGAAGGCTCACGGGAGCCTGGGGAGGCCTGTGCAGCCCCAGCCCAGGCCAAGCCCTGCCACTGCTGCTCCTCTTCACCTGGGCCGAGCATCCCCCCACCCCCGTCCTGGCCGGAGGGACCCTTCAGTGACTATTTGCAGTCAGGCGGCTTCCTCATTTGAGGACAGTCATTCTGTCCCCTCCCCCTGGACGCTGCCCCTTCCCCAGAGGCAGCCACATGGGTGCCATCAGGAGGCTGGAAGGTGGGGTTCAGGCTGGATCCTGACACCGTTGCCTGGAAGTCTGCGATGCCTGGGGCCAGCAGGGGGAGGGGAGCAGGGCCCAGGTGATGGCACAGGGACCTCCTTCCTTGGGGAGGAGAGTGGCCCTAGAGCCAGTGTGGGCGGGAGGAGGGGAAGGCAGCAGGGACAGGCAGCTGGCCAGGCCTCCTCATCCCCCATAGCAGGAAGAGGGAGGCAACAGGAGGACAGAGCTAAGTGGCGGTCGGAACAAGGAGAGCAGCGGTGTGGGAGACAGGGCCAGGCCTTAGCACCATGAGACGGGGTCCCCAGGGTGCCTTGCACTTACAGAGACCCACCTGCAGCCTGGACTCTGCACCCCGATAAGTCCCCTCTCCCCCGGGCTGTGTCCCTCTATGAGGGGGCTCCTCTTCTGACCCTTGCCTCAGACTTGGGAGGAAGTGTCATTAAGAAGGCAGGCCCTACAGCCAGACTTGCCATTTCCTGTGTGTCCTTAGGCAAGTTATTTAGCCTTGCTGGGCCTCAGTTTTCTCATCTGTAAAATGGGAATAATGGTAGTGTCGGTCAGGATTTCACAAGCAACGCAAATACAGTGTGGAGCACAGGACCCGGGGCAGGGCTCGTCACCAGGCGCAGGATCGGTCCAAGGAGCACCTGCAATTTATCGGTTGCAGCCGCAGCCCCAGCCTGCCTCCCACGCTCCCTACTGGCCGAGGAAGTCCAGGCCGAGAAGGGGTGTTTGCCCCCACAGTTGAGGGCTGGGACGGAAAGTCAGGAGGCTTCCCAACGTGACGGAGCTGAGTCCAGGTCCTGCCTTGGCCCTTCAGTGGCCGTGTGATCACGAACAAACAGCACAGCTCTATGAGGCTCGGATGCTTGTGGAACAGGGTCAGCGAGCGCCCCACCGCCCAGGGCGGGGTTGAAATGCCTGGCGTGAAGGAGCCGCTGCTGCGTACGTGGGCCTCCTGCCGCCGGGCACACAGGCGGGGTCAGTCTCCTGCACAGTGTCCCGCAGGCTGACCGCCCCCCCCAGCTTTCCTTTCTTCAAGGGTCACAAATTTCAGGGTCAAACCACGGGACCCCTCACTCTGGTTCCCGAGCTGCGGTGCCGCCAGCGTGGGCCCAGCAGATCTAACTCCTCTACGCTCAGCGCTCATAACCAAGACACAGGCCCGGGGGACAGACGGATGTGGAAGGCAGGGAGAGCCCCAAGTGGCAAATGCGCGGCGGCTCCAGACGCCTCGGCAGGGAGGGGTAACTGGCCAGGGGCGCTGGGCTGGCCTGGCAGGCACCGAGAACTCCGTGTAAACACCGAGGGAAGGGGGCGGCCAGGGGCACGGTGCCAAAGGGGGTGGGGCTTCCGGGGACAGGGAGGGCTGCTGGCAGGGGCAGGAGTCGGCTGGAAAATAAGAAAATTGAGACAAAAATATCACAGCCGTGAAACTGGTTGGATGCCAAGTGCGCCAGATCTGTCAGGAATCCGACCCCAGTGCTAAGCCCCAGCGCTCGGGGCTGTCACTGACACCGTGGCGGTGGGGACAAGTGGGTCTTTAAATAGCTTGGTGTCTCAGAAGTGGGGGAGGCAGAATGTTAAATATGATGCCTGCTGCCCCCCACCCCCACCCCCGCCAGGGCCCACAGTGTCTCACTCCCTGCCCCGGGCAGGGCCAGCCTGGCCCGGCTCACTCCCGAGAGAAGGGGGCTTCCTCCACAATCAGAAAGGGTTCCTTGATTTCCTGCTGGTCTGACCATCAGGAAGTCCTCCCTGAAGTCTAACCACCATCCAGCTACAGCCTCCATCTATCTCTGCTTATAGTTTCCTCAGCAGAGGTGGGACACGATCAGTCTCCACCCCCGTAAGTCATCCGCGATTTGGGCTCCCTTGCCACCCCTCCTCTCCATCCTCCACCGGAGAGAAAAGGACGCCTCTCTCCCAAGACCTCATCCTACCCCCACCCCAACAGAAATCCGGAGCCCCGCAAGCCCATGGCCACACCCTCGCTACAGCTGGGAACGCTTCCCCCTGCAGAAACACTCCCAGGACCCAAGTCCAGGGTTGGACCCAAACTGATCAAGGTGGGGACGGGGTTGGCTCTGAGGCCTGTCCCGAGGGCCCAGTGGTGGCACCGGGGGTCCCCTGTCCCAGGACCCCATATCCCAGAGTGTGTGCTAAGACAAGCCCAGCTCTCTCTCCCCCAGGGTCTCTGGTCACACGGGCCTGTAGGGGTGACCCCTTAAGAAGGAGGCTGATCTGTTGACACCATTGGGACGAGAGGTCCAAGAGCCAGAAGATCAAGCGAGAGTCCTGACATCACCACTGGCCTCTGGCCACGTCACGCAGGCAAAGGCTGGGCGCCTCGGGTCACCTCAGACCTGCGTTTTCTCCACAGAGGCCCTGGGCAGTGTGCAGAGTCCGGGCAGGGCTGTGCCGTGCTCTCTAACGGGGGCAGGGGCGAGGAGGCGGTGCAGGCCGTGGGCCCACGCAAGTGGCTCCCTGGAAGAACCCCAGAGGAAGGCAGGCAGGTTAGGGGTCGCGTCCTCAAGCTCCCTGCCCTCCCGCTTTCTCGGCCAGGACCGAATTCCTCTCTCTGCGAGGCCTGCCCAGGAAGTGGCGGCAGGGGCAGGAGTCCATGCCGGCCATGCCGGGACTGCCTGCCGCAGAGCACCCAGCCCCGCACCAGGCACTCGGCCCTCTCTGCTCCGCCTCCCTGCACATCCTGAACTCGCCGCACTGTGGCCTTCCTGGACTGCACGCGTTGCTGATGCTGTGACCCTAGCCTGGAACACCTGAGTCCCAGGCCTGGCCCCCACGTGTCCACGCCTAGGCCTGCCAAGTCCCAGACGACGCAACACCTCTCTCTCCTGCTCCCTGGGCTTGCCCGGCAGACGTCCCCACCTGGGGGATGTGGTCTCCCCGCCTCACCACTCCCAGGGCTCTGCCTGCTGCCCGCCTTCTGGGCTCCCTGGCTCTGCACCTCCCCGCAAGCACTGAGCCCTCTCTATCTACTGCAAGTGCTTGTAGAACACCCACCACAGGACCCGGAAGCAGCCCAGACAGGCTATGTACTGGGGTCCCCGCGTCATCCTGGGTGCCAGCCCCGTCTCCATTACCCACGAACTTAGCTGTTCACTTCGGGCACCTTCTCCTCTGGCTGAGCCTTGCCCAGAGCGCACAGCGGTATGGGGAGGGCTGGATGACATGTACACAAGGAGGCCACCCTGCTTCATGGCCTGAGTTCCAATTCCGAATGAATCTGGCGATGGATGCAGATGAGGAAGCATCGGGGAGGGTCACCGTTTCCCAGCCCCCTCCCCCTGCACATCTCCTCAGCACACCGCGCTCTCTCTCAGCTTTCCTCCCAGGGTGACCGGGGACCTCGAGGCCAGATCCAGAGGTTCCTTCAGCTCTCATCTGTCCATCCAGCAACGCCCAGAAAGCAGCCACTCCGTCCTGCCCTAGTTTCCCGCCGACCTCTCTGCGCACACCTCTCTCCCTTGCTGGTCCCTGAGTTCTCCGTCCCAGGCCCTTTCTCTTCTCAGATCTGCATTCCCCACGTGGCCTCCTTCACGCACAGCCTGGGTCCCTGCCATCTCAGAAGCACACGGGGCTCAGCCTTGATGGCTTGCTTCTCAACTAATCCACCAACCGGGCTCCCCTGCGGAGCCCAGACGGCAGGGAGGGTGGGCTCCGTGACCTTGGCGGCAACCTGAACCTCTGCGGTCCTTAGTTCCCCGCTCTGGAAACAGGGGATGACAATTACACCTACTTCACGAGCTCATCATGGGATGAACAAGGTTGACATGCATTAAATGCTTAGAAGGGTGGCCGCCACACAGGCAGGGGTGTGCATATGGTAAAGTGAGTTATTCGAGAATTTCACTTCCAAAACCTAACTCGACCGTCCCGTCTCTGATGCCCGGGACCCCTGCCACCCGTCCTGTCTGGCTATTGGGCCCTGCGCTGACTCCTCCGGCATGGGCTCCTGCATCTGCCCGGCCCAGTGGGCTTTCCAGGGGGCAACTCTGTTCACAAACCCACTTTGCTCCCCAACCCTCATTCAGAGCCCCTCAGCGCCTCCTGACACGCAAGTGGCGACCTAAAGCAGTGGGCCCTCGGGTGGCTGCCCCAGCCGCTGCCCGCTGGCCCGGCCACCTCACTCCCACTGCCTGGCTTCCCACACAGCAGGCCTGCTGGCCCTCCAGGTCCACACCTGCCCGGGCATATCCTGCCTTCCGTGTTAGAAGCCCACCCCCGCCAGGCTCTCCACTGCACCTCGCTCACATTCACTCCTACCTCCAAGGCCCCTTCCTCAGGGAAGCCCTCCCTGACTGCCCCATACTGGTTCAGTTCCCCAACCTCCACCCTTCCACTCCTTCTCGAGAGCTGTGCATCTACATTCAATTGTGTGACTGTGTGATCAGCACCACAGGGCACAGGTCTGTTTTCACATCTTCATTATTTGCAGCACCCAGCAAAGTCCCTGGCACACGTAGAGATAACTACAAGTCTCTTACCCTCACCCTCCCCAGGGCTGCCATGGCTCACGGCTGCCCTGCAGCCCGGGCCCTGCCCAGGGCTCCTCACAGCAGCTGCACCGTGAGCCTCACAGCCCTTCATGGGCGCACAGATGGGATTCACGTGGCTTCTGCAGGGGGCCGGAGCCCTGGCTGCGCTCTCTCGGAGTGCCAGGCTGCCACCGCCCACCAGCTCTGGGTCAGAAGCGAGATCGGTCCACTCCCTCCAGAGGGGTCCCATGAAGACCCGTGGTCCAGCACACTGCCGACCACCGGTGCCTAAGGACTGCCTTCCGAGTCTTTCGGCGGCTGCCTCCTCCAGGACAAGAACAGTGCCCCTTCCCTCTCCCCAGACAGCCTGGTCTGGCCCCTGCCGGAAAGGCGGGCCTGATTCAGCACCCTCCCTGTGTCTGCCTAGGCCGGGCCACCCCAGGGCTCTAACAGGGTGGGGCTAGGTGGGCAGACACCCTGTTGGGTGTTCCTAGGGGACCTAGGAGTTCCTCCCCCGAGACGCAAGACGCGGGTGCACAGCAGGCATGCTGCCAGGACACCTACCCAGGCGAAGGCCACACAGGTGTGGTACATGGGGGAGGAGGCCGGCACGGAGGTGCGGTAGCGGCAGAGCATCACCAGGCTGGCCAGGCCATTGAGGAAAGAGGCCACGGCAGAAGCCGGCTCTTGGAAGAACAGGAACCGGGAGAAGGGCCACTGAAAAAGAAGCAGATGGAGGGGGCCTGAGGGGCCGGCGACCCCCACTGGGCCCAGCCAAAAATCCCTGCCATTCCCCAGCTCAGGGGATGAGGAATTTCAGGCCAATGAGCTGCTCTCCCATCCCTGGTTGAGGGTCAGAGCCTTGCCCGCAGCGAGCCCCACGCCCCACGACGACCAGGTGGGTCAGCGTGGACGGCTTGGTGTGGCCTGGTGGAGGGCCCAGTGCCTCCTCTCTCCTGACCACAACACTCCAAGCCTCCGCCCACTCTGGGCAGACTGGGGAGAATAATTCTTGCCACCTTCAGCAAGCTAGGATGATAACCCTGGCTCAAAAGACACCAGCAGACTGTGTCCCCGGGCACTAGGAATGGGGGTGGGGTCACTGTTAATCCAAATCCCCATGGAGAAGCAGTGGGCCGTGTGCTGCAGAGGACCGGGGAATTTGTCCTTGTAGCAAGGTGGGCACCTCCAGCAGCCTTGGAAGCCCAGCATCACTCCCTGAGGCCTCCTAGATCTTGCTCCTCGGAATCCAGGGGCAGAATACATCGGTCCCGCCTGACTACGTGGGAATCAGCAGATTCTGAGAAGAGCTGGTGCCTGCCCCAAGCACACACCCATCACCCCACACCTCGGACAGCTCAGTGTAGTCCAGCAGGGAGACACCTTACTGCCACAACCCCCTGATACCCACCCTGACCCCCGTCTCACCTTGCCATGGAACTGTGGCACCTTGTGACCTTCCCGGAGGTAGAGGCCTACGGTGACCCACATGCACTCATACTTACAGTCGTCTTGGCAGGTCCAGCCTGAAACAGACAAACGTGGCCTGGTGCGCTCCCCTGCACAGGGAGGCACCGAGAGCGTGAATGGGGCCCAAGCTCAGATGCAGGCCAAGAGGGTCTGCAGGTAAGGAGTGAACCAGGAGACATCTCAAGATGCCAGCTTCCCACGTGAACAGGCAAGAGATGATGGGACACACGCATCACAGGGAGAGGTCGCGGACGTGCATTTTAGGGGTGAGGGCAAACAGAGAAGTTTCTTTTCCCCTTTCACCTATAAGGGGAATCTTGGCAACTGATGAATTCATTGGTAGGAAACCTGTTTGTCTTTCCCGAACACAAGAGCTACTCCCCTGCCAGGCAGAAGGGTCCTTGCTGTCTGACTCCTCTCCTAGGCAATGAAGCCCAAATTCTCCCCCATAACTTCTGAGGCCCCAGATTTGCCATTCCAGCTTTATTTCCAGGATGCCTTGTCAGGCAGCCTGTGCCCTTGGGTAAACCGCTTTTGGCTTTGCCCACTTCTGGGCCTCCACTGTCTTGGTTCCCTCTGTCCAGAGTGCAAAACGTTAATAAGCAGGACAAGCCTGTGGTCGAACAAGCAAGAACTGGAAACGCCAGTTTCCACTCATTGGCTGTGTGGCTCTGGGCAGGGCACCCAACAGGCCTCAGATTCCCCAACTGTCAAAACGGACTTTAGAGACACTTTCCGAGAGAGCTGTGGTGAAAGCCGACACCTGTCACACATGTGTGCTTAGTGTGTTGGTTCCTTGCCCATTATAATCACAAGTCCATATTTAATGTATCCATCCAGAGGCCCTTCACAAAGGATTCCAAGGTGACCCTTGTCCCCAGCCCCTCAAAGCAGGAATCCAGCCCTCCCTCTCTCAAAGGCTTCTAGTGCTTAACTGAAGGATCCTTTTGGGCTCAAATCATTCTCTGCCTTGTGCTTGAGGAGGCTGCTGTCCTGTGAGGGCTCTGAGGCCCTAAAGACTGACCCGGAGTCTGATTTCTGTATTGTTCCAGGGCCTTGAACCCAGCAAGTATCTAAAAGTACCTATTTCATTAAAAATAAGAAAATGAGGGGCCGCCATTGTGGCTTAGCGGGTAAGGCCACCACCTGCAATACTGGCATCCCATATGGGCAAAGGTTTGAGTCTCAGCTGCTCCACTGCTCCCTGCTAGAGACCTGGGAGAAGCCTCGGAAGATGGCCCCTGCTTGGGCCCCTGCACCCGTATGGGAGACCTGGAAGAAGCTCCTGGCTCCTGGCTTCCCCCTGGCCCAGTCCTGGCTGTGAGGCCATCTGGGAGTTAAAACAGCAGATGGAAGATTTCTTGTTCTGTCTCTCCCTCTCTCTGCAATGTTGACTTTCAAATATAAATCTTAAAATAAGCAAATGAATAAATAAAAAAATAAAAACTTTTGGGAAAGGTTCAGAAACTGCAGGGAGTATTGGGGGGGGGAGAGACTAGGGGCGGGGCTTAAAGGGGCGGGGCTTACCGGCCAGGCTCATGTAGATTGGCTGGCGAGAGCGGAAGTGCTTCAGCGCGCCCCCGGAGCAGTTCCGCTCTTCGCACTGGAGGACGCATTCGCGGTACACCGGCTCGCGATCGCCCTGGGAGCCGCTCGCTAGTGCGGCTGCCCCCGCCAGCAACACCAACCCCACCGCCCTCCCGGCCATCCTTCCACGCTGGCTCGTTGCCGGGGGAGGAGCTTAGGAGCGTGTGAAGTCTCCACTTCCGGAGTAAACGGAAGTCCCTGTGTTCCTTATTCTGTCCGCCGGCATTCACGCACTGTAAATAATAGTTCCCGGGTTTTTGTGGGCGCCTGCCCCACCCCTCGTCCCACTGTTTTTTCTATATTTTGAGGCGACAGAGTGAGGGGAAAATGGACGCCTGATGGGTCCAGGAGCAAAATAAAGTCTTTTGTCCTTCGCTTTCTTCTCTCCGGCGTCTGTTTTCATTTGAGACAAGGCTTTTTTTTTTTTTTTTTTTTTTATCAGCAGGCCTGTTGGGTTTCAACTCCTCAGTGTAGCTAGAGCCATACCCTTCTGTGTGTCTCTTCTGGCAACACCCTGGTTGACACAGCTCAAGCTGTGGAGATGCATCTCCCTGCGTCTACTTTGCCCCCTCCAATTTCAAAATTCAAATTTGACTCCGTCACTTTCCTTCTTAAAATCCTTTACAGACTTCCAGCTTTCCTTAGGATAAAAGGCAAACCCCGTAAGCCCTGCCCGACGCAGCCCTGCCATCCGCCTGCACTCCTCTGCTCCAGACCCGCTCCTCAAGCCTTCAGGAATCGCTCTTGCTCTCATTCTGGTTTATTCTTCTGGTCTGTGTAAGCACCAGCTCCTCAGGGTGATTGCTGTTTGCCACTCTGCCTGCAGCACTGGCAGAAGTTGGCTCATGGTAGGTACTAAGTGCGGTTAAAAAAGAAAAAAAAAGAAAAAAGAAAAAAAAAAGAATGAACAGCATAATTCAGCATAAGAACTTGCCGGGTACCAAATCCAGGGCTGTCAAGTCATTAGTGTGGTTCCGTGCTGAAACAGAAGGGATGTAATATTTCAAGAAAGACCCTGAGAATAGGACACTTGCTTTAGGATCCACTCCACCTCCCCTACAGGACCTCCAGAACCCACCTGTTCAATTTTGTGAGAGCACTGAAGCCTTGTGGTTAACGATGGCCTTTCCTCTCCCCCCAGCCTGTTCACCCTTGGTCAATTTTTCCTTTTTACCCTGTGGGGTAGAATGAGTAAGAAGTTAACACTGAATTCCATTCTTTCATTCACTCACTCACTCACTCAGCATTTCCTGAGCTCTTAGCCCTAGATCCGTGCTAATCAAGGCACAACACTGGGACATACCATCCACTGCATTTCCTGTGACTGGTGTGTCTTCCAGTGACCCCTGCATTTCAGCACCCAACTGATACTGATCCATAAGGAGCTGATCAGAAGCAAACCAGTGTGAATATTGCTTTGCATCTGACAGATCAGTTGTTTAAGAACACATTTTTTAATTTCATTGAGTCCTTACTATAACTGTGGAATCAATCTTTTTACAAGGATGCCCATTTAAAGATGAGGACATTTAGGATTAAGGAGGATGAAATTCTGACAAAGATTCTCCCTTTGAAAGAACTCCTAGGTCAAAATAGGACTCTTAAAACCTCAAAGGTTGGCCGGCGCTGTGGCTCAATAGGCTAATCCTTTGCCTGCGGTGCCGGCACACCAGGTTCTAGTCCTGGTCAGGGCGCCAGATTCTGTCCCGGTTGCCCCTCTTCCAGGCCAGCCCTCTGCTATGGCCTGGGAGTGCAGTGGAGGATGGCCCAAATCCTTGGGCCCTGCACCCGCATGGGAGACCAGGAGAAGCACCCCTGGCTCCTGGCTTCAGATCAGCGCAATGCACTGGCTGCGGCAGCCATTGGAGGGTGAACCAACGGCAAAAAAGGAAGACCTTTCTCTCTGTCTCTCTCTCTCTCACTGTCCACTCTGCCTGTCAAAAAAAAACAAAACAAAACAAAACAAAAAAACAAAACAAACAAACAAAAAAAAAACAAAAAACTCAAATAAATAGATAAATAAATCTTTTATAAAAGGTGGCAACACCTTTTAAGTTTATATTAAGTAAAACTCATAAACAACTATATGTAGTTGAGTTGCTGTTAATAGTTGAGATATTGCTACATTTATGTGCATTTAGTAAAATATTAATTTTTATAGTTTGCTATAACAATGAAAATTTCTCTAGGTCTTTGAAAACTCATGTTTACATACCTGATGGAGAGAACAATTCCAGTGGAGACTTCTGTCTTGTCTTTTTGGGAGATGGGGTTACTACACAAAATTATAGGAGATCATTGTTGGGAGTCAGTGCCTGTGCCAGGTCCCAGCAGAATAGACTAAACCAAAAATGGAGTCACTCATGCTAAATGCCACATAGCCTGAACTTTAAGGAATCACATAGATCCCAAATCAGACCTGAAAACAGAAGATTCCAATCTACCTGAGTCAGTGCAATAAAGAATTCCCCTTTCGCTTTAACCCTTAGAAAAAACGGCCTGATGTTAACCAATAACCTAAGTAACCTAATGCTTGCCAATCATCCTTTTTGCTATTGTTCTGCTTTCATGCTCCTACCTTACAAAACCCCTGTTCTGCCCCCGGTGGGAGCTCTCATTCTGTTTGTAGACTGGGGGCTGCCCTAATTCACGAATTGTGGCTAAAAGTCAATTCAATCTATAGCTTTTAAAAAAATTCTTACTTGTTTCTTTTTTATTTTATTTGAAAGGCAGAGACAGAGAGAAAGATCTTCCATCTACTGGTCTACTCCCTAAATGCCCACAACAGACAGGGCCAGACTGAAGCTAGGAGCCCAGAACACAACACAGTCTGGATCTCCCATGTTGGTGGCAGGGACTCAAGGCTGGGGCTTGAACCACACACTCTGGGACAGGATGTGGGCATCCCAAGTGACAGCAGCCACTGCGTTAAACACCCACCTCCCGATTTGTGTCTTTGATGGGGAGTTGTCTCTGAGGGACACTGCTTGAGAATTTCCCCAGCTAACAGTTACCTGGCCGTCCTCTTTCTCAAATTTTCAGCCTGGAGCCCCCACTTCCCTACTGATCCCCTGTAGCCTAATCTGCTTCCAAACTTGTTTTTGGTTTTATATGTGAGTCACAGTCTACAAAGTCACCAATTCATTCTTTTTTTTTTTTTTTTTTTGACAGGCAGAGTAGACAGTGAGAGAGAGAGAGAAAGGTCTTCCTTTTGCCGTTGGTTCACCCTCCAATGGCCGCCGTGGCCGGCGCACTGCGGCTGGCGCACCGCGCTGATCTGATGGCAGGAGCCAGGTACTTAATCCTGGTCTCCCATGGGGTGCAGGGCCCAAGCACTTGGGCCATCCTCCACTGCACTCCCTGGCCACAGCAGAGAGCTGGCCTGGAAGAGGGGCAACCAGGACAGAATCCGGCGCCCTGACTGGGACTAGAACCAGGTGTGCCGGCGCCGCAAGGTGGAGGATTAGCCTAGTGAGCCGTGGCGCCGGCCACCAATTCATTCTTTTAACTTAGCTCACCAAACCCTACCGTGTGTCAATCCTTTTGCACTAGTGGGAAAAAAAAAAAAAAAAAAAAGGATGAATCAGAAGTGGTTCCCAGGTCAGGAAGGATAAAGACAATCAAACTGTACAGCGTACGATGGGCGCAACAGCAGGCTTCTATTCTCAGAGCAATAATTGGGGAATGGTGGAATGGTCTACAATGAGGGTTTCTTTACTCGTCAAATCTTTTTTTTATTAAGATTTTTATTTATTTATTTGACAGGTAGAGTTACAGACAGTGAGAGAGAGAGAAAGTGCTTCCTTCCATTGGTTCAACCCCCCAAATAGCCGCAATGGCCGGAGCTATGCTGATCCGAAGCCAGGAGTCAGGTGTTTCCTCCTGGTCTCCCATGCAGGTGCAGGGACCCAGGCACTTGGGCCATCCTCCACTGCCTTCCCAGGCCACGGGAGAGAGCTGGACTGGAAGAGGAGCAACCAGGACTAGAACCCGGTGCCCTATGGGTCAAATCTTCTTAAAATTTAATTTTTAAAAATTTATTTAAGAGGCAGCGAGAGAGAGAGAGAGAGAGAGAGAGAGATCCCCCATCAACGGCCTTACTCCCTAAATGTCTGCAATAACTACCGAGCCTAGCCTAAGCTGGATCAGGAAACGCAGCTCAGGTTTCCCACATGAGCGGTGGGAACTCAATCACTCGAGCCATCACTGTTGTTTCCCAATGTCTCTGTCTCCATCGCTGTCGCCGTCACCGTCGCCGTCTCTGTTAGCAGGAAGCTGGAGTCAGGAGCTGAGCTGGGTATTGAATCCATCTGATATGGGATGTGGGTATCTTAACTGCTAGGCTGATGAGCCACTCCCAAACTTATCTCTTTTTAAAAACTTTTAAAAATTATTTACGTATTTGAGAGGCAAGAACGAGCTCTCAACTACTGGGCTTGTTCCCCAAGCACCTGCGGTGACCCAGGCTGCGCTGAGCTGCAGCTGGGAACATCATCCAGGTCTCCCGCATGGGTGGCAGGACCCCAGCCTCCCCTCCCAGGCCCTGCAGTAGCAGGAAGCTGGAGCTGGCTATTGTGCCCAGACACGCTGATGGGGATGTTGGTGGCAACTGGCATCTTAACCACTAGACTCTATGGCCCCACCCTAACTTATTTTGTAATTCCATTTTCCATTAACTTTTTGAAACATGCTTGGGGTCTGTGCTGTAGCTTAGCAGGTAATACTGCTGCCTGCAGCGCCAGCTTCTCATATGGACACCACTTCAAGTCCCAGCGCTCCACTGCCGATACAGCTCTCTGCTATGGCCTGGGAAAAGCAGTGGAGGATGGCCCAAGTCTTTGGGCCCCTGCACCTTGTGAGACCCAGAAGAACCTCCTGGCCCCTGGCTTTGACCTAGCCCAGCCCTGGTTGTTTCAGCTATTTGGGGAGTGAACCAATGGATAGAAGGTCTCTCTCTCTCTCTCTCTAACTTTTTAAAATAAATAAATAATCTTAAAAAGAAGGTAGAAATAGTTATTGTCTGTGAGGAGATATGGACCAGTAATAGGGAAGTGAAGGGCATTTTAAAATTTTTATACCTTTTTCAATTCTGTACCATCTACATATATCATCAGTGAAAAAAACAAGAAAAATGTAAGCAGAACAACTTCAAGGAGTGACAAGCGAGGGGT